AGGGAAACCTCAATGGAAATCTGCAAAAATAGAAAAGAGTTCTGGATGAGAGAGAGGAATTCAAATTCAGTTCTCTAGCAAACTGATAATAAGCTTCTAATGATCAAGGAAAGTATATTACTGGAAGTTGTCATCTGTAGCATCTTTGCAACGTGCATAAACATTTTGACAATTATTATCCTTCTTTGTTTTGTACCCGGTAACAATCACAATCCAATAAATTATGATTCAAACAAAGACTGATCATGTTGATCAGAAGACAAAATGGAATCTCACCCTATAATTACAGAATGCTAGTTAAAGGTAAAACCTAAATCAGAGCAAACCAAAATTTGTAACCATCTCTTCCAACTCCATTCTGTCATGGTTCCCTTTCAAATCCCAGTCCGCCATCATTTCCAACTACTTCTCATGATAAATCTTCTTAACCTGCCAAAACGTAAACGAAAAGAGAGAATATGGGATTCATGATCCAAACAGGTTAGGTCCTTGAGCATCCTGTGGAAGCGAAGATAGTTGTGTTTGCTTACATGTATGTAGTGGAGACTCCTGAGATGTCTTAAAGAAAAGGGACACTCCAAGTGCAGAAATTGTTAGAAAGATCGAGTTTGAAGTTTCTCGAGTTTCACCATCTTTGATGGAATGAGAACTATGATACTCTTTGTTCTGCAATAACCTGCAACAAAATGCAATTTGAGTTAGCCTCTTTCACATACTTGAAACCAAAGAAGTAGGAATCACAAATGCCTACACCCATTTGTGGAAAAGATGAAATGTAGATCAAGCAAAGTTAAAATGTAAAAATGCAGAAATTAGGTAGCAGGTAAATCCAAACAACCAAACACGCTGAATCAAACAACTTTGGGGGTGCTCCCACCCGGTTCTTACCAACAATTCACCGCCGAATTTTTTGGATCTTCAGACACTTTCCATGGATCGAAATTGAAAATCCTTATTCGAATTGCATGATCGAATTGATGGTTATTAGTGCACGGGGCAGCAACTAAAAATTCCTTATTTTCTAGATAGCATTACAAAATTGAATTCATATCAATAACATCAGATGGTGAAGCTAACCTAACTGACCATTTAAAATGCAGGAATAGTTAAGATGATTGAGAACATAAACATGTTATTATATACAAAACCTAGATTCGTGGAAGGGGCAATACCCGTCAAAGGAAACCCCAAGAAAGACTAAATGAATCACAAAAAATAGGCAAAATATGGGAAACATAAAGAGAGGAAAAGGTATGGCTAAAAGACACCCAGATTCATGGAAAGAAGAAAAAGTTCTCAGCATACTCGAACGACGATCAAATCAACTGTGATCATAGGACAAAGGAGAGAGAACATAAATGCATAGGTGGGATCATACCAGTAAGGGACACTGAATAAGAGTCTCGCCGAGGAAGTGGAATGTTAAAACTTGAACCTTCTCATGGCGTTATAGAGATCTTCTGCGTCGTTAGCGCCACCAAGTGAGCAAGGCCGTATAGTAAAACAATCTGACCCACCTACGACCGGAAAGGCACAACAAATGTATTTTAGCTCTAAAAAATGGGTCAGATAATTGAGCATGCAGCAGGAGGGCAACTCGTATATCCCATAAGGCGCCACTTCGTCACTATTAAGAGGGTAACTAATAGAAAATGTTCAAAAAATTAAAGCCAAGGTACTTTTTGAAACAGTACATACATGAGCCTAGTTTTGGCAGGCCCTATTGACTAAGAAGGTTTCTACCCCTACATGTTTCTGAAATGACCCGAACCTTTATGCGAAGAAAGGAAGAAATCTAAAGCAATGACATTATGGAAAATGGAGACAAATTATAACAGACTTACTCTCCACCGAGGAATTAAAATTTGGCAAATGGACAACTATGATATGAGAAGCATATAATTGCAAAGGGTTCCGGAGACCCAAACAAATTAGGTCACATACTTACTGAATTGCACAGAATAACTTAGCACATATAAAAGCATGTTATTACTCCCCTAGTTTGTTCATTCCATTCTCCCATTGGACGATATCTTTTATTTATTAGGCTATTTCTTTGACTCCATCCCTTTTGAGCTTGCTGCTGAACTGCAGCATCACAGAAGTCCTGTAACATCAAACCTGTAGCATTAGATGGACGCATAGTTTTGATTTCATATTGCTTAGACCATGAAACTATATACAAAGTTCATGATTAAATGCAAATACACCAAGCGAGCTTACACAGGAACTGAATCTCAGGATCTGATCAAGATAGGAACTTAATTGATAGGTAAGGAATGAAGGGAACTGATACCATAAAAATACATTGGATTTGCAAAGAGAAGTTTAAAATCAAAGAACAAAATTGCAGCAAAGTTTAACCTAAGTTCTATCAATTTACAACAAATAGGGCACAGGCTGAACAACAACATGAGTGCATGACCCTGAGGCCTTCAGGCGCATGATAGGCTGATAAGAACAACTCAACAACAACCGACGATCAAGAGGGAAAATGAACACATTGGAGTTCAGTTGTGAGGAAATTTCGAAAGGTATTTATCGCAAGAAATGCAATATGTGTTTCCGTAGAACTGTACGGATAAATCAGCAAAGGACAACCCCAAAAAAGGAGTAAAATTGATTTGGCACATCAAATTTCTTAAGCAGGATCGAGTGAATTTCAGTAAAACAGAACAGTTGATGAAAAGGGCGTGGACATAACAAAAGAGTTTGCATTAAGGAGCTGACCTTGTCACTAAATTGCAAGCATAAGAGGGATCTGATCAGCTTGCTTGTTGCAGATTGGCCGTGTTTCTCTCTGAAGACATCTGCTGGCCTACACTCCTCCAATGGCTCAACTGACATTGGTTCCAGACCTGCAGAAGATCACCTACTCAACTGAGTACCTTCACACAGACTCTATGAACCCAACATAGGGAGCATGCAATCAAACACGGGAACAGGATAGCAAGTGCAAGCAATTAGATACGGGAACAGAAAGTAAAAATCAAGAGAGCAACTTTGACTAATGAGACACAGTGCTCAAGTTAGGTTAGATATACAGTTTAAAGCAGGCAAAAGCTATAATTTCTAGACAGAACCAGTAAAATAAAGAGACATATAAAGCGATTACCTGCAAGGGACAGTGTACGGTGTTGCCAGAGCAAAAACTCCTCTCATCTCTCTGTTACCCGTCATCCTCCCTGGCCACTAATGTTGTTTCCCCGTTGGCGCTTGACATTTCCATAGAAGGGGGCTGAGGAGACTCACCCCAAGCCGACCTATCACTCCTCGGTTGGAAGGATGCAAAGGGAAAATATAGCTACACCTGCAATTCAAAAGAAAAAAACCATTCACTTTTCATCCCCTGTGATGGATTCATAGAAATATGCAAAATCAATGGCTAATGTTGATGAGAACTTTAATGAAAATGCATTCTACTCAATTCCCCATATTTGCATCACCCTAGTTATATGACCGTATGCATGTAATGAAACAGAACCATACAACCTCAAGTTCTGAAATAATCAATCCCCAACACCTTTGTCAGTGTGATTTCCAAAGTCTGTGTCATTTAAGAACTCAAAAAATATACAACTCAGCCTACTGGAGACGCAAAACAGTATGCAAGAAGCTTTCAAGTAGTGATATCCCCCGCTAAAATGCACAGGGTTCAGGGGAAAACAACAAAAATGAAAGAAATCCCCATTCTCCCCACGCCCCATAGCATGTTAATGGAGGCTCACCTGAAGGTCCAACCGAGTAAGAGAACCAACTCGACTTGATCTGTAAGGGAAACAAAACATAGGAATCTTAGCATAAAAGGATTTGGAGTCGAGGCTAGTCCGTGTTAAAACCAATAGAGTAAAAAGTATACTGTGTAGCGCGATAGTTGGAACTGATGACCAATTATAAACAAATTATTCAAGACCTCTAAACCATCTACGCAAAGAGAAGAAACCTAAACTAAAAACAGAAGAAATAGAGAGAGGAGATCACCAACACTGAAGCTTTCATGGTAGACATCTGCAGTTGCTTCCTCCTTCCCAACGATTATAGATATATATACTCATTGGTCATTGGACTTCTGCATTTGCTTCCTCCTTCTCCCTCAAGAATGTTCATCATTGACTTGTTATTGCAATCTATGAATCCATCTAAGAAAATCAGCGTCTAAGCAATGACCAAAACCCTAAAAGTAACGAAAAAATGAACAGAATCAAAGGCAGAAACTCACAAGCTAAGCAAGCCGCCTGCTGACAATCCTTCTCCCCAGGCAAGTTCGCTGTTAGCATGTTTTTGTGGCCGATGAATCAACCGAGAAAAGCAGTAAGAGTTTGTGAGGAGAGAAAGACAATGACTGGAAGCTAATTTCGGGAAAACGAAAACCCATATGGCTGAAAACATACAGAACCACTCCACAGAAAGGAGTCATCAAGATTAAAAACAGAACCAAAACCCAAAAAGAACCTTACCCAAAGAGCAGTGGGTAGCCCTCATTGGCTCTGCTGCCTTTGGAAATCTACATTGGCAGCAGCTCCTCCATTATCCTGGCTAGTATCCTAATTCGAAAAGGCAAAAATAATAATTCCAATTAGATTAGCAAGAAAGCACTCCATAAAAATCTAAACATGTCAAAACCGAAAAAGGAAATAAATCCACAAAAACGACTTTCCACCTTTGTCGCGGTCGACAGCAGTCCCACCGCCACTATCTTTTCACCCGGCTCCTCTTTTGCTGTTTTTTTTTTGTTGTTGTTGTTGTATTTTTTGTTCTTGCTGCCGTTGTTCACGTTGAAGGCGTAGTCCCCAAATACAATTCTTCCTCCATCAGAAGTCAACCGACAACTTAGCAAGCTAATTCCCGACGTGGTTTTAAGGTCGATGAATCCATTGGGAAAACAACGTTTTAGCAAAATTAAAAACCCTAAAAGTAATTTAAAAAAACGAAAAAGAGTTCAAAACTCACCCTTCAGCCTCTGATGCTCGTCGATCCATCGTGAGTATTCCATGTCGAATGCCATCGCACCACCGCCTCCATTTCCTGATACTGAGTGGCCATGGTAGTCCACCGATGCACCTGTGGAGGCGGCGAAAATTCCTTGTTGGCGCGCACGTTGTAGTTCTTGTTCGAGTTGGGTAAGCCTTTAGCGACTGTTCTCAAGCTGCTGGACATAAGCCTAACCCAAAACCAAAAACTTATGATTCCCCGTCGAAATGTGTTCATTCATTCATCTATATTGTAATGTTTGCAAAAACAGATTGGTACCTTCTTCCTCAGGCGACTCTTTCTGGCTGCTTCCCGGTTCTGAGCCAACCTTCGAAGACTCTGCTGCACAAGGGAAGAAAGCAAGCAGCAGCAAGGGAAAATAGGGCTATCAAATTGACACTTAAGAAAATGAACAACTTGACAGTTCAAGAAAAGGAGCAACCTTTTGGTCATCGATTTTGCCCTTGGATTGATCCATGGAATCAACCACCAAAATTGAGCCATGTTGGCCACCATCACCAAGCTGCTGCTGCTGCTGCTGCAACCAGAAAAAGCTTGCCTTTACATCAACCCAGCTCAGAACAATTAACAAATCCCCTTTGTTTTTTTCATGAATTACTGTTAATTAGCTACTAAAAAGCAGAGTACTGGAAACGGATTAGGATCACAACACAAAGCACAAAAAGAAGGACTAAAGGTGACACTGTACTGTCTCCCTCTTTTTTTCCTTTCGGAAAAAACAATACAGATATCCATATGGAACAAAATCCACAAGGAAATACAAAAAACAGAGCACATTGTACAGTGAGAGCAGTAGGGGGGAATTAGGGGGGAAGGCAGCTGATTCCTCAATTCCGAAACAGACCCACCACCACCACCACAGATTCGGAGCAGAAAGATTCTCACTTCTCCTCTCCCCAAGCTTTAACCAATGGGGAAAACAGAGCATATGTGCAGAGAAAGAGACAAATTCCTAAGAAACCCAAGAACTGACTTGGTGGTGAAATTGGTTTCTTTCATCAGTATCGACATCTGTGGAAGTGTCAGTAGTCTGCTGGCTCGTATCTCCTCCTCCTCCTGCACCCATCCCAGTCGAGGTTGAAATTGAATCCCCCCACTTCTCGAGATTACCACCACAACTACTACTGTTGTTGCTATTGTTGTTGTTATTCTGCTGCTCGTTCCCCAACAATGTCGCTCTCCCGTACAGGTATTGCCCTGTGTCCAAACACCCTGCCGCTGCTACCTCTCCGATCCCAGTCTACACCATAAACGCGAAAAAAAGCCAGAGACTTTGTAAACAAATGGTAACATCAAAGGGAGTTGTTCTGAATTCTGATGTTGCTACCGTAATCAATGGCGAAGCGAAATGTAAACTGCTGTTGCTTCCATGGGCGAGGGCGACATTGTTTCCTGATTTTGAACTGAACATGGAGCCTACGCAAACCACCACCAAACCCATGTTTTTAAAAGGAAAGAAAATTAACAACACGTGACTTTTACAACACGAAAAAAAGGCTCGGTGATAGACTTACTTGGGCTTAAATCAACAGCATGGTGGTGTTGGAAAGCAGAAGGAGGTGGGGGAGAGAGTGGGTTGTTGTTGGTTGGGGATGATCAAGCTCCCCAAGGTCACCAAACCGGGTTTGGCTTCTACAGTCTTCATCTTCTTCTTCTCCTCCTCCTCCTCTTTTTTCCGTGGTGGGGAAGGTGGGAAAAAAACAGAGCAAGTCAACTATTTATGCAGGAATTAAAATAAACTCAGCCAATGATGGCTTTCAGAGAAAAAAAGACGAGGGAAAGGGGTTACCGGAAAAAGTAAGGAGGTGGTGGCGGAACAGGGGAGTTGCAGTACATTTCAGAGGTATGGAAAACAGTAGAAGGAATGGTATCGTGATGATGGTGATGATAATGATGGTGGGATGATGACGCTGTAGCCCTGAAGCTTTGCATCTTCCAAGCCATCGCAACGGCCCACTACCATATCCATCGCCGCCATCGTCGTCTCGCCAGCGTCGTTGTACTCTCACCGCCCGCTTATGCTAGATGCCGTCGACGCTGAACCCGTAAATCAGCTCTGTCACCTGCGATCGCGATCATCAATTCCGGGATGCCCCTACAAGCTCGTTGTTCAACTGCATCCTCACTTCTTCTTCAAGAGAGAGGTGAGATGCTGATTCCTTTTTTCCTTTCTTCTTCATGTTGCAGGTAGGATTGAGTGGGTGAAAAGAGATAAGAGAGAGGTGAAAGAGAAGGAGAGAGAGAATGGTTCGTGTGGCTGGAAATGGGAAGAAAGAAAAGCAACCCAAAAAATATCAGAATGATAAAGAGAGAAAGTTGTTTATTTTTTCTTTCTTTTCTTCTTCTTCCTCTGCTTGAGAGATAAGAGAGAAAGTGTTGAAAGTGACAGGACCAACTACAAAACGTAAAGTCAATTGAGAAATGATGAGAACAAGTAAAAAGCAAAAGAGTAACAGTAACGGGATGTGACTCTACCAAACAGTAAAGTTGTAACTTGTTCTTTTAAAGAGATAATATTGGTTGACTTAGAGGATGCGTGTATATTAATCAATTGAAACCCGAAGATAACAAAAGGGAATTTTATATGCTAGGTCAAACAAATTTTATAATAAACTCAGTGACAACATTCCGCTCATGAGCATAGTACACATTACTCATGTCATATACAATAACTCGAGTTATTGGGACCAGTTGGTTTATGACATGGTGTCGGAGCTGGTTTGTCTTTCAGGTCACATGTTCAAGTCCTCATGACCCCAATATTAATTGTTGTCTTTAAAGTATACATTGTATGTCGGTTCTGTGCAAACTCCAAATCCATGAGTTGGCTTTTGTTTGAAGGAGCGTGTAAGGAAGTGATTAAGTACCATACATGGACCTCTCCCAGTTTGGGATCAACTGGTTGTTGACATGATATCAGAGTTATTGGGAACAGTAGATTTATAACCGTCGGGGTTACGGTACAATATCTAGAAGCTACAAAACCTTCAAACTCAACCTATTGTCACTTCTAATACGAATCATACCACCTCCTCTTGATATGATCGTATCAGGGTGATATGATTTATAACACAGGTTATAAGGTACGGCGTTTTGTAGGTTCTACAGTTTTGAGTTTTGTACTACATCTTTTCTATAAATAAAAAAAATTCGATTAATTCGGGTCAACGAGAGAGGTGGCTGTATACGTAGCTCATCTAGATCCTAACATATACAGCAGCTGCCTTCTTCTGTCTCAGTCCCACTGTTTGGCTTCACAGCATTGATTCGATTGCCGGGCGTTTTAATGAATAAAAATACGCAAGTGTCTACTTAACATTTCATCGTCAGGTTTGAGTTAAAATTATGATTTCTTGAAGACCTTTGAAACTGTTTTTAATTGCTAGTTTGTCCTTCTGTGCAGGCCCAAGGGGAGACATGCTTGTTGTAGGGTCCAATCAGCGGCTATTTGTCAAGTAACCTGACCACTTAATAGATCAACGGAGAAGACATCACTTTGTTTTTAAGGGCACTGGCCTGTATGTATTATTAGTTAATACGTTTACCCAAGCTAGAGAGTAGTTGGAATGCTGTAACGGGTGGAGGGCTGCATTAGAGTCATGTTTTGTATTATTGATATCTGTTGTGTATTATATACATGCGTAATGATTCATCTATGGAGCTAATCGAGGAAAGTATTTACTAAGGGGAGAAGTAATTACAAGACTAAATTTTAAATTTGTTTGACTACATTATCTCCAATATGCCCCGCAAGATGGGCAATCGTGTCGACGATTCCAATCATGGAATGAAAAAGAAGAAGAAGAAGAAACCGAGGACGGGATAAGGGCATGGTGAGAGCATCTGCTAACCGATGAACGGTGGCGATGTGATGGACTCGGAGTCGGCTAGTCTGCACAAGTTGTCGAACAAAGTGGGAGTCGAGAGCCAAGTGCTTCGTACTAGAATGAAATACAGGATTCGCACCAAAGTATGTGGCTCCCAAATTGTCTGAATAGGAGCACTGGTGATGTGGTGTAGGGATGGCAATTTACCCACCCATGGGTAATTTTGCCCAAACCCAAGTAGACCCATTTATTATGGGTGGGTTTGGGTGATGTGTGTATGGGTTTGGGGTTTGTATATGGGTTTGGGTTAGATATGGATATTATCTAAATGGGTATGGGTTGGATATGGATATCCATTTACTTGAGGGTGTTTTAACTACACATGCAAAAATTGGACTTATTTGTAAAACTTGAAAATTTTAGGTACCAAAATGTAAGACAAAAAAAATTTAGGTACCAAAACGTAATTTTCCATCGATATTTTGAGGACTTATATGCAAAAAAAATTAAATTTAGGTACTAAATATGCATATCTATTAAGTTTAGGTACCAAACTGTAATTTGTATTTGGGCATGGGTACAAACCCAAATCCATTTGTTATAAACCCAACCCAACCCAAAGTAAATGGGCATGGGTACAAACCCATCAAACTTTACCCATATCCATATATTTGGATTTCATACCCAACCCAATTGGGTTGGATAGTAAAATACCCATGGGTATGGGCATAATTGCCATCCCTAATGTGGTGTCGGGATTGTGATGTTCTTGAAGTAAATTTTGCACCCGCTCTAGTTCTGCAGTGGCATGGGCAATGGCAGGTACTCAGCTTCGGTGCTAGAATGAGCAAAATTGTGTTGTTTTTGTCAGTGCCAAGAAATGAGATTTCATTCCAGATAGATAAGATAGATAGAAGTGTAGGTTCGAAAATCATGATTAGTCGTCCATTCAGAGTCGGCAAATGCAGATAAGTAAGTGGGGGTGACTGCCGGCGAATAGATAGACCATAGTGCATGGTGTCACAGATATACCGAGGAGATGTTTTACACGTTATCAATGGTTGGTGGTAGGAGCATGCATAAATTGAGAGAACTTTTTTACCGAAAAGGCAATTTTTGGACGAGTATACACTTGATACTGAAGTGCTCCAAGAGCTTATCGATATTGAGTGCCATCGGCATGTAGGCTACCCACTGAAGAGAAAGAGCGATCGTGACAAAGAGAGGAGCAGGAACGGGATTTTCATCAATAATTTGAAACCTAAAGAGAATTTCATGCTTGTACTTGTGTTGAGAGAGAAGGAAGCCAGTAAAGGTGGTAGAACTTCGATGCCAAGAAAGTAGTTGATGTGACCCAAATGTTTTAGGGAGGACTTGTGCAATAATTGACCATGAAAGGAAAGCAATATTCTTGGCATCCTTCCCCATTAGTAGTAAATCATCAACATAGATGAGGAAATAGAGAGTGATATGATGTCGATGATAAACAAAAAAGGGACGCATCCGAGCTAGTCTTGTGAAAGCCTTTGTCTGTAAGGAAGGAACTCAAAGTTGTATACTAGGCTCGTGGCGCTTGTTTGAGTCCATAGATAGCCTAATTAAGACGACAAAGATGGTTGGTGATACCAGGTTGATGAAAGCCAGGTGGTTTACCATATATACTTCCTCTTGTGTAGGACCTTGAAGAAAGGCATTATTAACATCATATTGAAATATGGGCCAGTTTTGAGAGAAAGCAAGGGTGAATATCGGTTGGACGATGACTGGTTTTACCACTGGAATGAATTAATCATGAAAGTCCACTCCTGATCACTGATGAAATCCCTTGTCCACCAAGCAGGCTTTGTAACGATCAATTGAACCATATGGATGATGTTTTACTCGAAAAACCCATTGATTTGACGAGGTACTAAGTCCAAGCACTATTGGCTACCAATTCATGTTTATATCGAAGAGTAGCATCCAATTCAGGATAATAAAGGGCTTTCATGACAAACTTGTGCTCAAGAGGGCCTTCGTGGTGACAATCAACTTCTTAGGGTTTGAAGATGTATTTTTGGAGCGAATGATGATCTAGCGAGCCGAAGGGAGAGGTGGTGATGGTGGCTAAATCTCAGTTGGTGAAGTTGCTAAGTCGGAGGAGCCCACTACGGAAGAAGCCCCATGAGTGAGATGGGCTAGTTGGAGTCTGAGACGGATGTGGAAACAGATGGGAGTGGAATCAGGCTGATCAAGGGTTATGTGACAAAGATCCAATGGTCTAATGTGGGCTTCTCTACAGAAGAGTGAGTATCAAATGAAAAGTATGTTCTATAAAGACTACATGTTGAGACACAAAATATGATCAATAGCAGGATCAAAACATTTGTAAGCACTTTGTTGAGGACAATATCCTAAGAAGATAAGGTCGAGATCTATGACAGAGTTGAGATTGGGCGAATCCAAACATAGCATAAACAATAAAATACTCAAAGTTTATGATACTTGGGAATAGTGCTAAAGAGAGTTTGGAAATGAATATTACCCCAAAATGCGGAGGAAGGAAGTCGATTAATAAGATAAGTGGCGTTAGAAAAGGAAAATGACCAAAAAATTGATGGTAGCTAGTTTGGCATGGTGAAGAATAGTGATGATGTTTATGTTCTGCAAGACCATTGTGCTCTAGAGTATGGGGGGGGGGAGTGTTCAGATGAATTATGCTTGAGATTTTAGATCAGTCCGAAGATTGGAAAATATACCACCACCATCAGAATAGAGTCATCGAATAGTAGTGGAGAAATAATTTTCAATCTTACACCGATAGTCAAGAAAAGTCTGCAGAGGATCATATTTTTTACAGAGGATAAAACCAAGTGTATTTGGTGAAGTGATAAACAAAGATAATGTAATAATGAAAATCATCAATAGAAGAAACAGGGGCATGACCCCAAACATCCGAATACAAAAGATCCAATGGTCCTTGTCAATCTGGATAATGAAAAATGAAGTTTATGACTCATACTGCAAAGATACAGATCTCAAGAAAACTCTAATTCTTCAGAAACAAGAAGAGAATGAGTACAAAATAGACGAGATAAAGACTTAGCCAATGGATGACCAAATCGATAATGCCAAGAAGATGG